CACACAAAAGATCAGGTAACGACACCCATCAATCACGGTGACAGATAATCTCTCCCTCTTATCATGAGAATACACTCACAACAAAAAAAACATGCTGATAACCACAATCACCCAATCTCCTGAAAAGGACAAAAGCTGATTCCACAGCTATAAATACTCAACGATCCAAACAAACTGCACCACAGCACAGAGTGAGTTCTGACTCCTGTCCTCTGAAGATGCCGGCCACAGAGACTGGGAAAAATTAGGAAGAACAACCTTCAGAACACAGCCAAAGAGCCCAAAAAACCTACAACAACCATCAATGCACAGGTCCCTGTTATAAAGAGCCTAGCATAAAAATAAAGAGAAGGAAGTAAAAACTGCATGAAAGTACTCATCTTTTGTTCTGGCATTTATTTTATTTTTACATTCATTTAAATAAGCCTAATTAAATTATGGACCTATAAGATTTATTTTGGACCATAGTGAACTCATGATGCAACTACAGTACATTGGCAAATAATGTGGGAAATAGTCTGGGACTGGATGGTTTGATTTGCAATATTTTCCATTGGCTACATGACATAAAAGTCAATGTGAATCAGCTTGGAATTTCCCCCCTCTTTACTTTTCCCCTTCATTGTTGGGTCTTCTATTTTTTTATTTTTGGAACAGAATGCATTCACATTAGTTCAGATGGTGTGATTGCTTGAGCCAATGTGGAGCAATTTGTAGTTCTTATAATTCAAGCCATTCGACCTGGATACATCAGCAGTGAGAGAGGCAGGGCAGCAGGGAAACTGGCTCACATTTTAATCCTCTCCTCCCTACACCTGGTGTATGTGTTTGCTTTCGTCTTCCCTTTCTTTCCCTTCTCTTCTCTTCCTTGTCTTTCAAGATAGTTTTGCTCCAACTCTGCTTTCTGCAAAATTGGAGGATCAGAGCAGACCTACCTTAAAACTCCCCCCTGCCAAGCCCTTGGACCCCTTTTCCTTAAGCTGGCAAAAAAGGCTAAAGTCAAAACTTATTCCTGTCTCTGAC